ACACACACACACACACACACACACACACACACACACACACACACACACACACACACACACACACACACACACACACACACACACACACACACACACACACAGTATTTCTTTATATTTTATTGTTTTTTATCTCTTTTTGAATATTACCTTTCTTTAGAAAACATTTGGAAAATTCTGAGATAAGTGAAAATTCTGAGAAAAAAGTGAAAATTATGTAAAAAGTGAAAATTATGAGAAAGATGTAAAAATGATGAGAAAAAAATGAAAATTACGAGAAAAAATGAAAATTACGTGAAAAAATAAAAATTCTGAGAAAAAAAGGAAAATTCTGTAAAAAGTGAAAATTATGATAAAGATGTAAAAATTATGAAAAAGTTAAAAAACTATGAGATAAAAATGAAAATTACGAGAAAAAATGAAAATTACGTGAAAAAGTGAAAATTACGAGTAAAAGTGAAAATTGTGAGAAAAAGTGAAAATGATGAGAAAATAAAAAATAGAATAAAGGAATTGTGATTATGATTCTAATAAAGATGTCAGTGATGATAACTCAGATGTGTTTGCAGACCTTGATGTTGCAGAATCGGTGATTCTCGCCCAGCTTCGCAGGAGCCTGCAGGTTCAGACGGAGAGAGAACATTAACTAAGGGTGAGATGTACATTATTACAGCATAAGAAGTATAGAGCAGATACAGTAAAGACAAAACACCTACATATTCAAAAAATGCAAAAGATTAACAAAGTCAGTACACAACAAGAGGCAGCATATCAAAAAAAGAGTGACCAGATAAACTAAAGAGCCGGCACTGTTCACATACTGTCAATACATTGAAGGGAAAATAAAGTGTGAATTGCACAATTGTGTTTCCAGGATTCAAGGATTCAAGGATTCAAGGCTTTTATTGTCATGTGTACATAGCTACAGTGTAGTTATGACTTATGACAATGGAAATCTGAGGTCACAGGCTTCTCCAACAGCGGAACACAATAACACAGATGTTAGTGCTAGTAAATAGAATATAATATAAATAGTTCTTAGTTTACGAGTCCTCTTATATCTGTTTCTTGTTTAACGCTGCTTGTATGTCGTTTCATTTGAGTGAAACAGTGTTTTTGTGTTGCTTCCCTTTCTATAGGGCCCGGGGAATCATGGGAATACTGACCTCTCTGAGGGGAGGAGCCTCTCCTCTCTCCGCTGGCTCCAGCCTATCAGGAGGAGGATCTGCAGGGTCTGGGGGCGGGGCTTGGGGTTCTGGTGGCGGGGTCAATCCTCTCCGACGGTACATCTTCAGCTCGATGGCCTCGTCCTCGTTAGAAGCTACACCGTTACAGTCTGTAGAGCTGAAGAACTCCTGAGGAGAAACAGCCGCTCAGAGAGCTGGGTGTGTGTGTGTGTGTGTGTGTGTGTGTGTGTGTGTGTGTGTGTGTGTGTGTGTGTGTGTGTGTGTGTGTGTGTGTGTGTGTGTGTGTGTGTGTGTGTGTGTGTGTGTGTGTGTGTGTGTGTGTGTGTGTGTGTGTGTGTGTGTGTGTGTGTGTGTGTGTGTACCTCCGCTCCCCT